TTACTTGTTTATTTTCAAACAAACTAAATGTCTAGCCTGATATAACCTGAACATATATTTTTATCTTAATAAAGTGTATCAAAAATATGCCTGTATTCTGCAGATTCCCAAACAATTAAAATGCTCATTACATATTAATTAAATATTTTGACTAATTTGGCTTTCACTTGCCATTGAGTTTTGATTTGCCAGCTCCATTCATCACATTTTGCCTAAGAATGTGCAATATCGGTTATTGGTTGATAAGAAAGATTTATCATTATTTATCGTTCTCATTTTTACATTTAGATGTCTCTGCTATCATCTATCAGTCACTTAAAGGCATAAATGCAGTCTCATATACATTTTTCATACAGTAATTTATATAATGCTGTGATGCTTAGCTTTGGTTATAGCTTTATGATTTCCCCCCCCCCATTTAGACAAAATGGCATAATTTATTGGTTATTGAGCATGACATGAAAATAATTTATTAGTGTGAATTCCTAATTTTACCGTGTAAAATGTTAAATGCATTTTAATGTCTATTCCAGAGAGTTCTGCTGATTTTTCTTAAAATCTATTGCAGAAAATGTGAAAACTCTGCGTCTGATTGTGGTCTGTGTGATTATCTTAATTCCTAATACATTCTGAACAGTGTGGAACATCTATTAAAATACCTGAGAATTTATTTTAGGAATGAATGAAGTAAACATACAGAATTGAATAACAAACATATGAAACCTGTAGCCTGGATACAATCACTGTAAAAAAAAAATTTTTTTTTAAAATCCAATAGAGAAAGTCACGGCAAACTTCCACCAGAGGTTCGGCTCTCAAACGGCTCCGACAAGAGCGTTAATTCTGTACATTCAGGCTACAAGCCCATTAAAAACCTTTAAAACCAAATTTTTAATAAAATATACATGCAAGATACACACACGACCACTAGGGCGGCGAGAGAGAGCGTGGCCTTTTTCCATCAGTTCAAAGCTCTACATAAAAAGATTGTCTTTGTATGCGCACATGCACAGGCTTGCAGCCAATGGCTTTTCTGCTCTCCCAATAAAATCTGAAAGTTTTTGGCGAGCAGGCGAATAATCATATCCTCATTCTCACATGGCCACCTCGTATTCTGGCTCAGGATAAGAATCCGAGTCTGAATCCATTTGCTGTTGTAGTCTGGACTCATCAGCAGACAGACGAATGGGATTTATACCCCCGACACTCTTGAAAGTGTTCAGCGCGTTATCCATCATCCTGCGATCTTCGAATCCTAAGCTTCCCAGCGATATGAGCGGCGAGCGAGGCCTCGGCAGGTTAAAGGTGTTGGGTGGGTTTAGGAAAGGCTGAAAAGCGTCTCCTTCTCTTCTGTCCAGCGAATATTCAGCAGATGAATCCGGAGCTGCTGGGACGGAGTCCATGGGGCCCGTGAACGGAGGGTACGCGTCCACCTGATGTCCGTTGCTCCAGGCTCCGTTGTCAACCTCTGCAGGTTGGTTCTTGTCCACAAGGTGTCCGTATATGGTGGGGTCGTCGATAGAGGCGTAGACATGGGACTCATTGTCTGCTCTGGATTTTGGGAAGC